AAATGAATATCGAAAAGTTAACAACTGCATTTCCCAAGGCAGGCTTAAGCTCACTCAGATCAATGCAGAGTAGGTTTCTCCCAAGCCTGACCCCTGAGGAGGCATCAGCAGATTCTGGACACCCTCAGGAGACAGCAGTCAGTTGTGGGGCGGGGGGTAGCCATTTACATACACACTCTGCACCTTCAACCACTTCCACACATGAAGCATAAAAGAGAAGTTAATTCCTCTTTTGCCTCCTTTGTAACATATTATAAACTCAAATCCTCTTTAACCTAGCAAGCTGATGAGCAAGGACGCTTAGTAGAGGCAAACTAACACAATTCTGCATTGGATGGAACCGAGAGCTAGTATTCACTAGTACTTTAAGAAAATGAAATATTCAGTTTCTTCATCTTCCTTCCTTCCTTTCCTTTAGCTAAGGCAAAAGAACTGAACCTCCTCCCTTAAAGCCACATTAGAGGTGTCATTTACTTTTTTTTTTTAATAACAGTGTCAATTTAAGCACCTCTTCATCCTCCCTGCTCCCTATCCCATTCTTTTTGTTTTGTTGTTAGAGAAACAGGATCCAGGCTTGAAAAAAATACGCATCCTAAATTCTGGATGACATCTTTCACCTGATCCCATTGACATAACTGAGGACAGAGGCAAGCGACAGAAGCTGTATCTCCACAGAAACCAAAGGAACAAAAGAAGGGAAGCAAGTATTCTCAGGCGGGACTTCCAAATGTCATTTCACACATTCTCCAGCAAAACCTGAGAGGTCATTTGTGGCATTTTCGGAGAGAGATGAGGAGCACTGTGTTCACTTCTTCCTCACAGCCTCTATGTATGCTCTACACCTAATTATTTCCCAAGTCTTGATCACACTTAAGGATAGTTCCAAACCAGGTATGAGCCTGATTTCCAGATATCTCTAAACCAAAAAATAAAACTGAGGCGAAAAAGCAGATTCAGCCAAGTGAGCACACCAGTTCAGCTGAGCGTGCCAGTTTTTAAAAGGCACCAAATTCAGACCCTGCCCTCCTTAATTAAAAGCTTTGCTTTGCCTTGCCAACGGAGAAATTTGACAGCCATTAACTACCCTGCACCAGAAATAATTCTGCAGGCAACAGACGTACGAAACAGCAGCAGTGAGTTACTGTAACACATTGCGAGGAGATATTTCTTCCTGGAAGTCGAGTGCAAGGTTGTATTCCCAACCCCAGCAACAAACAGCCTCTACTTTCTCCTCTCACTTCCCACCACCTCCACTCCTTCCCACACGTCGTCCGCAGGGCTGTGTTGGTACAGATGTTCCCGCAGCCACGCGGCGAGCCCCGGCGCTGTTCTGATCAGCCTGGAAGATAACACAGCAGGGGAGGGAAAAAGGGACTGTGATCTGGTTCAGCACGAGGCCAGGCCAACAGCTGTGCTGGCACAACACAGCGAGCAGGAGCTGTTTATGCACCCCGTCACGGTCCGGATCGAGTCTCCATCGCCCGGGGGGTGGCTTGCTGATACCAGGCTAACCGGGTGTCACACCATCACAGGAAGGTCACCCTTCCTCGCCTCTACCCCGTGCCCCAACGTTGCCTTGTCCCCGTCTGACTCCGCAGCGAGCGAGCTGAGGGCACCGAGCTTGCCAAGCTAAACGTGCCAAAAAGTCGTTTTTTCTGTCTGTTCAGCTTTCTTGATCGACTCGCCACAGGATCAGATAGGCACCCGTGCCCGCGTAGAGCCCCTAGGTCAGGTTAGGCGCGAGTATGGTACCACCACCTCACACCCACGTGCCTGCCCGACGCCACGTCCCCCTCCTTGCGCAGGAGCGGCGGCGCAGCCTGCGCTCAGGGGCACCTGGGAGGCTCCCTATTTGAGACTGCTGGTAGTCTTTGGCCTCCTCTTGACTGTTTAAAACCGGTTCCTATCTAGCCTGGCTAACAGAAAAATCTCTTGTTTGGATTCAGGTGTAGCTTTGTAGCTGGCAGACACACCACAGCCTGCCAATTCTCATGTTTTCCAAGCTTATCTTCTTAAGCTAAACAGCAAGGATGGAATAAGGCATCAAGGTAGAAAATCCATGCATCCCTCCGGCACCATGAAAAGTGAGACGCATCCACAGCACTAATTTCCCAACCTAGAGCATTACCTGATTTTATGTATTTGAGGATTTACCACTAATCTGCTCCTCAAAAAAACCAATCACACGACAACCAGCAAAAGAGTGAACATATAGATGCCATCCCATGCACGCATTGTACGCTTCAGCTCTCCAGTAACTGAATCTGCACAAAGCAGTTAAATACAGACAGTTAAATGCTGTCAAGCAGAGCCAAAATTTCACGATGTACCTTGCACACAAAGCGCACATCATACACAATCTAAGCTTCCAATTTTGTTTTGTCAAGAGAGTACATTTCTAACCCTTCTGGCTGTGAAGATAGCCTTGGAAACACAAGCCTTGATATCTGCTCAAGTCCGTAGACTGTTGGAAACAGTGACTCATACGTGAATTCCCACCACCCATTAATCTCAAAGCGTAAGCACTTATGCAGCAATAATGGTGTTTTAATGTCCTGGCAAAAATGGGAAAAAAGGTTAGCAGAATTTGGGAGTGACTGTCAGGAAATGAAGATAAAGACGATGCTTGGAGAACAGCAAGAACAAGGAAGGGACAGGAAAAAAGAAGTCATAAGTTATGAAGCACAGCTCTCCAAGCCAAACGGGAGTTCAGCTACCACCTGTTTCCAAAAGCCACGTTTTCCCACTCATCTCCACGCAATATCCCTCAAAACAACAGTAGATCTGTGGCTGACTAAATACAAAACCCTCCTCCTTTACATACCCAGCCAGAGACCTCAGTAAAACCACAGTGGGCTTCAACCCCACTCTCGCACTTTGGCAAGCTCTTAAAAGTTCTAGACGTAACCTCAGCGTGCCTATAACGCTGTACCTCCAGACCCGGATTTAACCTCCGCAGGACTGAATGCCAGCCTCTGGTCAGCAGCTACCTCCAGAATATTTTAAGTGGTTAGAGCAGCACATTGAGCTTGTTTGTGAAAGACTGAATACTCCTGTCAGCTCCGTCAAACTGACTAGAGCCCTAATGCTTACAAGAAAACTGCCCAGCTGCCTATTAGGCAATTGACCAAGAATATCCAGTTTTTCCTGAAAAAGGGTACTCTCTGGACAAAAAGGGAAGCATTTTATTTCTACCATCTCCAACTTAATCAAGTTACTGTTTCGGATTTTTTTCCAGCAAGAATTGTGTAGCTACATGAAAGTAGAGATTTTTCTCATCCAGTTAAAGAGCAATCCAGAATTCAGGCTTACAGTTAATAACTTTTTGCTCCATTTTTCAAGTACAAAATTCATAAGATGACTTAACACCCAAACCCCAGCTTTCCAACCACTTAAACTACTTAGCAGCACTCAGCTAAAATGTACATTTTAGTTAGACACCTTTTGAAAATTTTATTCTATTTTTATCTTGCATATCTCATTGAAGTGACAGGATATTTACAAATACCTATTTTTAGATATGGTATAAATGGTCTAAATGAGAACGTTCTCAAACTCAGTAATTGTTTCCAATATTAAAGCAAAATGAGTTAGAACATGTCATTGGACATTACAGTAACAGTAAGAGCCCAACTATTGCTCAATCTGACGGAAACAGATGTCTTTCAGGAATCTTAATTTTCAGTATTTTGGAATACTGAATGCAAGCAACTAGCGTAGACATATGCAGACAGCTAGCAGTACAAGGACACGGCTGTTTTACTACCCCACTTATGCTTAACATGGAATTGTTAAGAATTTTAACTTTGTTTTTAAATTTTTAATTTTTTAAGAACTGTTTTTCAGTGCAGAGTTCCTTTGTTCAAGCTTCTGCTGCATAAATACATACATTATGGGTATTACCTCTACCATTCACATGATTTCCAAGTTAATACTAATACACCAAAGGGAAATATTTAACATCTAGATATGCACTATGTGTTGCAGATACAAGACAAATGCAATTTCCATCCACAGAAAAACAATATTGCAACAATTTTATTTCCACTGTAGTTCTTAAGGTGTCCATGCCACTCCGCAGAGACAGCTTCACAGTTTATGAAATGCCTAACACAGATGGACTTCCCAAATTTAAACCAGGGAAGTCCACCCACACCTGCAGTGCATTTCTGCAGATGTCCCTGTACAACCTCACAAGTAGCTGGAGACTAGCGCAGATACGTCCAAGCACATTTCATCTTAGTCCCTGGAAGTATTCCCTGATAATAAACTTGCGTATGTAAAATTAAGCACAGATTTATCAAAAAGAGGTTTGGCCCTTGAAGAGGGGACAGAGAGAATGGTTTGCACCTTAAAAAAAAGAGGTGGGTTACAGGTAAGAAAACCGAGCTTACAGAGCTGACAGTAAAACTTCACGTACAACCAAACATTGCTATCAAAGCTTTAAGTTGAGGGGATTATATTCTGCTGTCTAAAATCACAGTCTTTTCAAAAGGCCAAGATTGTGGGAGATCTTAAAGACAGTATTACCTTCTCGGGGATGAAGAAACAAAAGTGATAGAAGTGAAATAGTAATTTGGAAATAATAATAATAATAATACCACACTATGCAGAATAGTTTTCATGCACAGACTGCAGTAATCCTTTACTTTAGCTTGCAATGTTTCATACAGATTCACTGACCTGCACAATTCAGTAAAAAACAAATTAATTGAGGGATAGTGGTCACCAACAAAACCAGGTGATACCAGCCCAACAGCTTGAGGCATATACTAACACCATGTCTCTGTATAGTGATAAAACATTTACACAAGTGAAGCATTCACCATGTGAAAGGGAGAACTGCTAATTAATGCTTACATCCAGATAAATTGCAGAGGAAGAGTCTGACATGTGCAAACAGCCACTTTGGCTTATTTAAGCTGATGAGTCACATGATTAATTGTCATACTTTGCATTGTTCAGATAAGGTGTAAAGGTACAAACAAGGAAGAACCTACCAGGACTCTCTACCCGCTTGTAGTGGTAGGGATTGATGCAAACCTCCTTCTGTTTTGAACCAAAGGGAAACTCGCAGCATTCCAGTGGTTTCAGTTCGTGATGGCTCTGCAGGTCCGGCCAGCGCCACACTCTACAGTAAATTACATGCGGTAGCCCTTTCCGGTGTGAAACCTGAAGCCTGCCGTCCAAGGAACGAGGAATTGTGACACAGTTGCTGGGCTGACCAGGACAGCTTAACGCTTTTTCCAGCTCCTCCATAGCACCTTTTTTCTTCTTCAGTTTTTTCACTAATGCATCAACAGCTTTCTCTGCCCATTTTTCTTCTTCGTCCCCCTGCTTCCATCCCAACAGCCTCTTCACTGCTGGGCTGGTGAAGGAGAATAAACTTGTCACATTCATGGTGACCCCACCGTGGCGATACCACAGAACCAAGCAGGAGAGACTGTCCTGTTCTTCCACCACCACCAGGGTACAGCGGATTATGTCAGTAGTCAAAAGCAGCCTGTATCAAACAATTCTGGTCCTTTCTCCTCAGTCCTCCAGTCCCAGGAAGGCAGCGCTGACATCCCCCCTTGACATACGTGACCTTCTCATTATTCTAAACCCTTCCGGCCGAGAACCTGCAGGAGAGTATCAGAGGGAGAGAAAAAAAAGGATTTTAGCTTTTAAATTAACATACAGCAGTTAAAAACATCCCCCACAACCCGCAGAAGTGGTGTGACCAAAAACCAACCAACAACAAAAAAAACAACAACAAAATGTTGACAGCCTCCAGAACTGGACTCCAGGCACATCTGATGAAGACTTTTAAGCAGCAGGGCCTGCTAAAAAAAATCATTCCCTCCCCAAAACAGCCCTGAATAAATGAGATGATCACCCTGGAAAATAATGACACAGCATAAACAAAACCAAAAGAGGCTGGGGAGGCGGGTTAGCAGGAGAGGGCAAGGGGTAGAGGTAGGTGGTGGGACAACTCCACATCAGCTCAGTTCCCTCATGCAATTTGCTGGGTGGCCTTGGTGATTTTTGTGCCATGCAGCAAGGGGGACAGCAACTGCATTTGCCAGCTTCAAACAATACTTCTGCTCGGTGCCCAAGCATGGCCTCAGTTAGTACCGTGAGAAGCTCGATAGAAAAAGCCAAAACACAAGACGACATGGCTGTATTCCCACATATACTCCACAAAAGGGCAAGGGTCCTATATTAGAAATTTAGCTCACATTAAATCTAGCCTAAAGCAGTCCCTCAAATTTCATCTTTCACCATTAAGTGTGAAGGGCACTCCCCTCTGCCTATCAGCTGTCGCAACCTTAACCAGCAACGTGTCCCAAGGAACCAGTGCAAGATCACTAGCGCTTTTTTTTTAAAATTTATTCTGGAGAGCAGCTGGAAGCAATATGCCCCAACAGCATTGTCCTACCCAGCCCTCTCCAAACTGCCAGGGCTGCAGCTCAAAAGTCACTGCGCTAGACTTGTGCATACCACGATCTGAAAGAAAACCAGTTCAGCTTCACCTCTGACTTTCTTTGAGGAACAAACCAAAAAAGAAGAAAACTAGGAAGATCCTTGCCCTCACTCATCTCATATGAGAAAGAAAACTCCATCTCCCCACCCCACCGAAAAGCTCTCACAGGTCATAAGCAGACTGTGAGGGAAAGATATCGTGAACTTACTTCACTGATTACATCCTGACCTTCCCGTTGCAATGCCTGCCTGATGTATTCAAGGACACATGAAGGAGCGGGAAGGAAGAGGAAGTCCTGATAAGAAGATTTTAGATGGCACAGTGGTCCTCGAGCTGGGAGACGTGGAACGCGGATGAAGCGATAGATGAAGAAGGAGAGGAACTCCACATATGAAGGAGCCCCTGCTGTGAGCAGCAAGTTTCGTACTTGTCCGGGCTGGGAGCAGGCAAAAGGCTCTTTCGGGGGAAGTAGGAGAGACCCTGCACTGGCAGGGAGAGGAAAATGAGACAAAGAGCACTAAACCACCGATTTTCAAACAGAGCACGAAGACAGACAGGAAACGTATCCTGGACTGGATACCAACAGGTTGCAGAGGAAGGGGGAAGGGGAAAAGGATATGAATGTTTTTGTTACCATCAGAAAGACACAAAAAATCCCAACCAACCAGCAACCTACACACATACAGAATAGGTGTCAGCACACTTGCATTAGACAGAATTTCACAGTTATACTAAGAAAAGATTGCAGATCTTAAAATAGTAAATGCTATGCCACACTTATCCTCTTGAGTATCATGCATTGTAATGGTTTCAGTGTACCACTATACTTGAAGTACTTTAAGCTGAAAACCATCCACTTGATTCAAATTAATTTGTCACTAAAACAATTATCTAATTGCAAAGGTTCGGTTTTATTAGCCTGAATGCATAAACTACATTTATGTGAATAATGATTATGGACTAAGACACAGACCGTGTCTACCTGCACTTCGTACTGGTACTTCCCATTCCTTTTATGCTAAGAATTGTATTTGAAATAATAACGTCAATGCAAGGGCAAATTTAAGAATTTATTTTGTTACCTGGGCATGTGCTATACTGTTAAATGAACTGAAACTCCATTACTGTCACTGACTGTACCCCAGGTATACTCTATCCTTACACGCACTGTAAAGTGCTCTATTAAAATGCTGTGCTAATTTAAGAACCGTATTACCAGAACCGTATTACCAGAACCGTATTACCAGAACCGTATTACCAGAACCGTATTACCAGAACCGTATTACCAGAACCGTATTACCAGAACCTGTGCTTCAAATGTATTTGTAACAGACTTATTCTCAACTCATACATAATCTGTATCTCAATCAATATTCTAAGTACCTTTTTTATGTATCCTTCAAACAAAACATGCAAGTTCCACACACAAGTCACCAACTAATCAACTTCACATCCATTCAAATTAAACAAAAAAACATTTAAGAGACTTGAATTGAAGTTCTAATAAAAAAGAAAGTACAAAGTCTAAATCATTTGAGACTTGAATTGAAGTTCTAATAAAAAAGAAAGTACAAAGTCTAAATCTGAATCCAAACTTCTTTCAACATTGATAATGAATGCAGACATGGTTCTACCTAGACCTGACCCATTTCCACCAAGCTACTTTAAAAATAAGTGGCCAACCTACTTGCTGTAAAAAAGAAAAAAAAAGTCCCATCTATTAAGACTGTATGTTTATACAGTGCCTGAAAATGCAACCCTAACATGAGCTAGTACACAAGTTCTGCAAAGACTAAGACAACATTCAGATGCTGCCCAAGTACTCAGACCATAGGAACAGATTTTCCAAAGTTTTTGGACCAAATCCTGCAACACACGCATGTCCTACTCCCACAATCATACACTCCAAAACATATTTCACCATCACAATCAAAGGTATTATCTTAACAGCTGGCACCTCTGTAGCAACAACTGCGGCAAGAAATACACTGGGAGCGGGAAGAGTAGCATTAGGTACAGTACTTGTAGATATGCTTGGAAGTAACACAGCTCAGCAGGACCTAGCCGGCCACCAGCCTTCAGCCCAGAGACTCC